TTCAATCGAATTACAACTCAGGTGAGGGGTATTCCTAACTCTCACCTGGCATACTTTACAAGGGTAGCCGTGGGTCACCTTTGGAACATCTCGGGAACCAAATTCATGGGTTCGATCAGCGCCAAAGACTCTCGTGGATTACCCTTACGCCAGGGCGATCGGGACTTTTAAATCACCTGCCCTTGGACTCACGCCTCGGCTCCCTTCCGAGGCGCACTTTATACTTATCGACTCCCCTGAGGTGAGCTACTCGGCTTTGTGGTCGGTCTCCGCACCCGCCAACTAAGAGAGAGGCATCGCTCAACATGAACAGGAAAGGCTCCAAGAATCAGTCCTTAAGCGCGACAGGCGAGTCACTTGCAAACCGGCAAGCCTCCGTCCGGTCTTCATTTCAAATTAAGATCGGTTCTTTTCCACGATAGCAAATATAGCCAACCGTGCCACATGTATCTTCCTATATCTCGCAGGTGACAGAAATCACCCGACTTCTACCGCGTTTAAGCAGGGCTAAGCACTACTCGAGCCTGAGCTACATAGGATTTAGGGTAACAATATCTGGACAAGGAATGGGTAACCAATGCAGCAATGGTTTGCATCCAACACCTAAACTTAATGCAACAATATATATATATTTAACAATAATACTGTAACTGCATTTTGGAAATTAGGAGGCTTAATATGCTCCGGGGCTTGCCTTTCACAAAGTTGCAAGGACGGTGGTCCGGGCACTCAACGGCGACCTCGTCTGGCACTTCTCCTGAAGGCTGCTCCTCCTGAATCTCCGGTGTCGGCTGCTGCGGCTCGCTCAGTTCCTCGAATTCCAGCAGGGTTACTCCTTCCGGTACACCTATTGCATGCCGATGCAAAAGATAAATATCATGGGTGCATAAGGAATGACATGATGCTCATGATGAATGAATCACAGTGAGTGTTTACGAAAGCATCACTGGACACTCGTTTACCGAGTAATTAGCTCTATTCAAATCACTTTAAGCATGTATCCAACTTAACTTAAATAACAAGAGCAACTTAACTAACTTGCATAACCTAAGATAAAGATGCTCATCTTCAGTTAAAGGCCTAACACCTAGGAACATTACCACAAACTTAGAACTAGTAAATACATACTTAAAATTACAGTTAAAGCTTCATATGCAAACAAGTAGTCACTTAATTCAATCATAACCAGAGTTCTATAAATCCAAATGACTTGTAAGAGGACATTCTGGAAAGCTTATGAAATTCTCTACAATTCATTTGTAAACATCAAGGCATGATTCTTAAGTTAACCAAATCAAATTCCAGTAAACCTAGAATCTGTCCCGCAATGGCAGGGTTGCTAACTTAATTATTTAATGATGATGCAAAAGCATAATTTGATCAATCCAAGTTTACCAACTTGTTTTTCATACCCAAGAAACATTAGAAAGTATAGTGCCAACTTCTAAATAATTTATTTAATATCCTTTTCCAATTTATTTAGTTAATTAGGTGATTTAAGCAATATATAGTAAAACTATTCATAAAAATCTACAAAAATTACAGTAGCTATCTCATGCTGCACATAGACTACCATAAAAATTTCAAAGCCATTGGGCAAACATAACTTGCTGTATCCAAAATAACAGGTGACATGTCTATTTCTAGCATAATTAGGAAACCTTATTAAAAAGTGTCAAGCAACAGATTTCCCATTTTTCCTAGCATCATTCTAGCATAAGAATAGCACTCATCAAATTTCACCTCCACTGGATCTATAGAAAAATTATGAAAATTCACACAAGATCCACCCATTAATAAAAGGAAATTCTATAACTTAAAAACTACACATGCACTAGCTCTGAAATTTTAACCAGGGCTTCTAACAAGCAATAATAGACTGCCCACAAAATTTCATAATTTTTGGACCACAGGAACTCAAGATAAAATTCAAACAAGTTTGCATGCATCTAAAAACACATTTCAAAGTCCTATTTAAATCATCAAAAATTTCTAAAACATGTGCTCATATAATATTTTTGTTAAATACTAGACATGACCAGGAACTCAACAAAATTAAAACCACATCATTTGGATCTATATACTAGGAGCTACATATTTTTGAATAACAACACAATTCTGTGAAATAATAAAGCAAAGCAAAATACGAAACAAAACTCGGCCATACTCGGGCCAGCCCAAGGAACGGCGGCCCACGAGTCACGCGCTGGCGCGGCCCAACGCGATGCGGCCCACGCTGGGCTCCCGCCTGAGCCTCGGTGGCTGACAGGGAGGGCCCGCGCGTCAGCGAGGGAAACAGGGGAAAGGAGCGGACGGCGGCGTAGTTCACCGCCGGTGGCTCCTCCGGTGAGACCATCTATGCTACGACGTTCGCCTTGATCATGCGCATCTAGTGGTGACCTCAATCGGTGCTAGGGTAGTGGCTAGAGGGGTCGACGACTGACACGGCGGCGCACAGCCACGGCACGGCCGGCTCCGGCGAACTGACGGCGACACAGCCCCTAACGGTGACTCTACGAGCTTCGGTGGTGTTCCTATGACCTAGCGCGAGGCAGAGGAGGGGATGGGACGGCGCGAGGACAGCTGGCCGCGTGGAGCGCCAACTCCGGCGAGCTCCTGCCATGGCTGCGGTGGGGGAGAACGGCGAATACGCCCTTACCAATGCACAATCGACCCGACGGTGAGGTGGAGATGGTAAAGGGGATCACGGTGAAGCTCTAGGTGAACGGAGCAACGCGTTTTCGCAACGGCGTGGAAGCTAGGCGGAGGCGAAGGTGCGGCTGGCAATGGTGGATGGCTGCGGCTCGGTTGCTGCGCGCGGTGGGAGGCGAGGAAATGCGAAATGGGACGGGCAAGTGCGTCGGACAGGCGCGCGGGGTGGCTTCAGACACGGCTGCGACGCCAGGAGGCGCACGGCGCGTGGCCAGCGCGACAGCAGGTCGGCGATGAGTGTCACCCACGCGTCGGCTGAACTCTGAAACTCGATCACTGTAGCTTCGATTCAGTGTTCCCTTCTGAGCCTGACAGTGATACTTTGACAATGATTATTTCCTAATCCGTGGCGATCTAGACTATGCCATAGTTAACAAAGTTGCTCATCTATACGTGAACTACAATTCTTTCCACTGGAGCTCAAGCTAGTTTGGCTCGGTTAGGGAGATACACGGCTCCAAACATGGGTACACGAAACTGTACTTCACTTTAGGACTTAGAAAAATTTGCTAAGTATGAAATCAGCATGTACTTCGGACTTGTGGGCCATGTTTGAGCATGTTCTAGCCATTTTCATGAGTTGGTCATAAAACAACTTTTGTTCCTTGATAAATTAGCTACAACTTTTGTAAAGAGTGCACAGCCATGCAAAGTCTCTAGGTTGGACTTTTGAATCAGTCAAACGATGACACTCCAAGGGTCAATTCAAGTCAAACTTGCACTTGAGGGCATTTTGGTCATTTTGATCTACATGAACAATGTCCCAACAAGTAACCTAAGTGTAGTTAAGGTGTATTAGACCATGATCAACCACTTTACAAAGTTGTTATACCCCTTCTAATGATCACATGTGATACAGCAATTAAAACAAGCAATTCATTCATGTTTCAATACAATTTTTCACATGTTGCATGACCTGGTTGTTATCCTATACTTGTCACATTACTACCATTTTGCCATGCTTCAAGATGTGAGAAATTTATGTTGCATTCACAGATTACACCAATACTATTTACAACAATCAAGCAGGAAACATACACAGTTGAAAATGTTGCATATGTTTTAGTAACAATGGCAATGATGACATAGATGATGCATATGTTTATGAAATGAAATGCAATTTAGTGGAAGCTTAAACACCTAGGGTGTTACACCTAACCCAGCCATGGCAGCGCTCTTGCCCCCCCCCCGCCATGGTCGTGCTCTACCCCGAGCACACTTTTGACTGTGTTCTTCTTGCTGCAGCAGCTCATGTATGGCCTGCTATGCTCGAGCTTGCGCTGTGTTTCCTCCGTGACTCAGCCATGGCCATGCTTTGCCCCAACCCTATGCCTTTGTGCATGCTCGCAACCAAGGCGTGGCAGTGCACGGTCCCTCCATGGTTGGCACGACCATGCCCGTCCCCACCATGGCCCTGCATGGTTGTGCCGTGCCGTGGCTCTGCCCCTACCCTCTGCTGCCTCCTTCCGTGGAGGACGACGAGATAATCATGTCTTTTTAAATTTGGTCCCTGAATGATTTTTTTTTATAATTGCATATGAATCCATATCCATGGTGAAGTTGTCCCAAATAGTTTTATCGTTGCCTAGATCCACGGCGGTTGATCTATGGTGGAGCTGGTGTTGTGGAGTTGTTTTCGTGAAATTGGATCTATCACAAACAGCTCACAATTCTGATTTTATTGTGGAGAATCTGTTTTATATGGTTGTGGATTTTTAGGCTATATCTGAATATTCCCTTTGGAATCCGATGATTCTTTTTTTTTCTGTTTGCTGGGTTTTTTCTTTTTCTGTGAAAATAAAACCGGTTCCTATGAAATCTATACACGATTTAAAATTTTGGAACGCCATTCTCGGCGGCAACGCTGGGACTCCGGCTACAAGCAACTAGTCGCCGGCCGGAACTGTATCCCCAGTCTGAGCCGTCCTGCCGAGACCTCGCCGTCGCCGTCGCAGTCGCAGTCGCAGTCGTGGCCAAGCACGCAGCCACCGTACGTATACAGTATAAGATCTACCAGTAGAAGTCAATCAACAGTGTTTCACGTTACCGTACGTATACGAAAGGGATGGAAACAGAAGGAGACGGCGTGCTTCACGTTACCTTCCCTTTTTCTTATTGTCCACATCCATGTCCCTGCACTAGGAAAGGTAGCCGATTCGGAAACGTGATCGTCGTGGAGCCAGATAAATAAGAGGCGTACGTACGAACGTGACCGACTGGAGTGCACTGCACTGAGGAGTGCCAACGTGGTTACGTTACCCACAGGCACACAGCCGGCCTGCCACATCATGGCGAGGATTCTCCAGGTTGTGGCGCCGCTCCTCCTGCTCCTGCTCCCCACTGGCCTCCGGGAGCTCCTCTCGCCCACGACGACGATCGACCACCAGCCGTCGGAGGGTGCTGCCAACGGCGGCGGAACAACGACCGGCGGCGGCGAGGTCCTCCTCCACCCGCTGGTGCTGGTTCCCGGGCTGACCTGCAGCGAGCTGGAGGCGCGGCTCACGGACGCCTACCGCCCCTCCGTGCCGCGGTGCGGCGCGATGAAGGGGAAGGGCTGGTTCGGGCTCTGGGCCAACTGCTCCGACCTGCCCGCGCACCACTACGTGCAGTGCTTCATCGAGCAGATGACCCTCGTCTACGACCCCGCCGCCAACGACTACCGGAACCTCCCCGGCGTCGAGACGCGCGTGCGCGCTTCGGCTCCTCCCGAGGCTTCCAGAGGAACCCGGAGCACACGACCTGGTGCTTTGAGGTCCTTAGACACGAGCTCGAAAAGGCCGGGTACCGCGACGGCGACACCCTGTTCGCCGCCCAGTACGACCTCCGCTACGCCCCGCCGGTGCCCGGCCAGTCATCGGAGGTGTTCTCGCGCTACTTCCGGCGGCTGACGAGGCTCATCGAGGACGCGAGCGAGAAGAACGAGAACAAGAAGGTGATCCTCTTCGGGCACAGCTTCGGGGGGATGGTGGCGCTGGAGTTCGTGCGGAGCACGCCCATGTCGTGGCGAGACAGGTACATCAAGCACCTCATCCTCGTCGCTCCGGTGCCGGCGGAAGGGCTCGTGCAGACGCTGCACTACTTCGTCTCCGGGTCCGACCTGATGTACATCCCCACGGTCGCCCAGCTATCGCTGACGCTGAGGCCCATGTGGAGGAGCTTCGAGTCCTCCATCGTCAACATCCCGTCCCCGTCGGTGTTCGGGGACAGGCCGCTCGTGGTCACCGCGCGGAGGAACTACTCCGCCTACGACGTGGAGGACCTCCTGGCCGACATCGGCTTCGGCGCCGGCGTGGAGCCTTTCACGAGACGAGCGGTCCCGAAGATGACCTCCTTCCAGGCCCCCATGGTGCCGACGACGTGCATCAACGGAGTGGGCAATAACGACACGCCGGAGCAGCTGGTTTACTGGGACGGCGACTTCGACGCGGAACCCGAGATAGTGTATGGCGACGGAGACAATACCATCAATTTGATCAGCATGTTGGCGTTCGACGAGAAGATGCGTCGGCAGCCGGAGCAGAACAAGCTGTACAAGTCCATCAAACTTCATGGGGCTGAGCACGGTACCATTGTGACAGAGGACTGGGCGCTCAAGCGGGTCATGCAAGAAATCCTCGAAGCCAATCGTATTTGATTAATTTACTTATTTATTATAGTATAAGACTCAAGCGATTTTTTAAATGCATTTGTTCCTAAATAATGTCGACTTATATGAACATTTAAGTATATCAGATGATACTGTGTGCAATGCTGCGGTAATTTTATAACGCTATTAAGAAGCATGGTTCATGGATTGAGAAATAGCAAAAGCACAATCCGCACACATGTTAATTTGAATCTTCGTGGGAACAAACTGAATTTATGATAAAAAAAAAGTAAGGAAAACTAGTCTTTCATAAACATATCTGACATGAGCCGGTCTTTCTATAATTGCATTGGTATAAAAAATAGTCTTTGTGTCCTCATCGTCTTTTTTTTAAACACGTCCGTTTACGCGTTTTTCATTAAGAGTGTAAAACGTTACAATATGCACCAAGCCGCTACGCGAGCAGCATAGCAGCTGTGGTGTCCGCAACGCGACGCTTAGACAAGCCTAGAGAGGGCACCCATCCAAACTTTCAACTACATGGTGACTAATTTTGCGACTCAGATCAGCACCCAGACTTAGGCCTCGTTCACTTCGCTGAAAAATAAACCGAAACGCTGTTCCAACTGATTTGTTGTGAGAGAAAAACACTGTTTCAGCTAAAAAAACAAGCTGAAAAGTACGGTTTATAAGAGAAGTGAACAGGGCCTCGTCTTCGATCTTCATCATCATTGAAGATGCAGGGACGGGTAGGAGGTTGGGCAGTCCAGTCGGGGTACGAGTTTGACTGCAGCAAACGCACCCGTACGTCCTTCAATAATCCTTCATCGTCGACCCCTCAGAAACACGGATACGGCAGGGTAGGTGCGTATCCCGTATCGGATACGTATCCGATACGGATACGCCTGGGATACGGTCGGGATACGTATCCACGGCGTGTCCCCGTATCCCTGCTTATTTGAGCTGGAAACTAAGGAAAGGATACGTATCCGCGCCCGTGTCCGCTGCCCGCCGGCGACAAGGAGCCCACGCGACGGCGACGAAGAGCTGCACCCCGCCTCCAGCAACGAGCCCCTACGACGGCAAAGAAGAGTTGCGCCCGGCCGACTGCAACGCCAACGAGCCCCTACGACGGCGAGTCGAAGACTGCACCCTGCCTCGTGACCCCTGCTTATGTGAGTTCCTCTCCCTCCCCAATCCAATTTAGATCTGAGCCAGTGCACCCACGCTGGCGAGGTGCCGAGGTCCGCGTGCTGCATCAGCGCGGGGCGGGCTGCCCACTGGCCACGCGCTTGGGGTGGAGTGGGACGCAGCCATGGTCGCTCGGCCGCCTGCGCCGAGAGGGACCTCGGTCACCGGCGTGGGAGGAGGAAGGCATGGCGCCGGTGGAGGAGGAGTTGCGAGGAGCAGGCCAGGAGCACAGTCGCGCAGACGGGGGCACCGTGTGGGGAAGAATGTTGGGGGAGAGAAAGAAGATTAAAAAATCTGATCTTGGGCCGAGCTAAGCACCGGCAGGAAGACGTGTTGTACATTTATATGCCAAAAATACCCCTCCATCTGCCAGCACAGGTAGAACCGTAGAAGTAGCAACTAGAAACTGTGAAATGATTATAGTTAACTCTGGGCATAATTAACCGAAGACCGAAGACCGAACCGAAAAGACCGAGACCGAGACCGAAAAGTTCGGTCATGAGTTCGGTCCTGGCTCCCAACTAACCGAAGTAACCGATAGAAGTTCGGTCATATGTGTCGGTTAACCGAACTGACCGAACTGACCGTAGTTCTGTAGACTTCGTTCGTAATGTCATTATGTGTGATTGTGATTTGTGAGAACTGAGAAAGTTGTGTGCTAGAACTTGTCATAATAATGTGTGGTTTGCTTTATATATTGTGTTGTTATTTTTTTGCCTTCAAATAACAAGCATGCTGTTGAAAATTGCTATAGATTCTGCTATTGTTTGTGGCTGCTACTCAGGTCCGGTTAGTTCGGTCGTGACCGAGACCGAACCGAACTAACCGAGACCGAACTTTCTCGGTCTTCGTTTTTTGCAAAGACCGATCGGTCCTAGGTTTCTGATGACCGAACTGACCGAATGACCGAGGAACCGAACCGATCGGTTCGGTCTGACCGAATGCCCAGGGTGAATTATAGTGAGCATCCATACATACGTTGTCAATAATTTTAATGTCCTTTATTATTATTTTTTATAAAAAATAATAAAACGTATCCACATATCAAGTTTCTTTAAAAAATGACGTATCCGCGTATCCGTATCCGTCCGATACCGATACACGTATCCGTATCCGTATCCGTATCCGTGCTGCTAAGGTCGACCCTGCACCACCTGCAGCAGCAATAGGAAAGCTGTGTTTGACAACAGGGGAAGTTAGAGACAGCACGTGCATCCATTGGTTGATGGCCCGGCCTGCCGGCACCAGCATGATTCCCTGATTGCTCTTAATAAAAGAAATAATAATTGAAAACGATATGCCAACTCAACTGACGACGTGGACCTAGCAGATCAAAGGGGTGTTGTTTGGTATATTAACACTTGTTACTACACGTTAACAACTACGTACTATTTACCTGTCTCAAAAAAAAAAGATGTACTACATAGTTCTGGGTGTTGAGTTGGCATATCCAAAAATCTCCATTCCAAGGGAGCATGTATGTTTTTTCCCCTAAGATGAACTAGGTGAACTTTGTCCAAAGGTATCTTCGTTTAACTTTGGTTTGGTCAGAATTGATTTTTGGATTTGTTTGGATTCAAACTAAAGTGAGGGGATTTTGATCCTGCTTTTCTGTCCAACAAAACAGAAGGAAATAAGGACTGGAAGAAGGCATCGTGGATTCGGCTGACTGGCCAATCCCAAGCAGCACCACAAAACAGATAAGACGGATAACACACAGCCACGTATGTAGCCTAGACGGAAACAGAAACAAGCAGCTCTGAAACTGAAGCTCACGGGCATGGCCATCCTGGGCGCCCTCAAGCTCGCCCCGTCTCCACCCGCCCTCGCCGGCGCCGCGCCACCGGAGACGTCTACGCCCGCGCGCTCCTCGGTGCACTTCCACCTCGCCAATGCCGGCGCCGCCGCGCTCGTCGCCGACCCCGCCGTGGCTTTCATTGTCCGCCCGCCGTTTACTTACCCTGCCTTGTTTCTGCTGTCCTCCCAAGTTCTTGCGAAATCGGCGTGTTGACGGCGCGCGCGCGGCGTGGCTGCAGGGAGGAGGCCCGTACGGGAAGCAGGTGACGCGGGGGCAGGACCTCACCGGCAAGGACTTCAGCGGCCTGACGCTCGTCAAGCAGGACTTCAAGACGGTATACTGCGATTGCATGCACATCTCACCTTGCCTTGGGCAATTTTCTTACAATTGCTATCCCATGCTTCTCGATGTGAAGAAGCCTAGAAACGCGTCAAATCTTCGAAGTTCTGTGTAAATATGCAGAAAAAAGCATGTCATTTGTCAGGGTTTTGCTTATGCTTGTTGATTCTTGATGTTCTTGATGATGCAGTCTATACTGAGGCAGGCGAACTTCAAAGGCGCGAACCTGCTCGGCGCGAGCTTCTTCGATGCAGACCTCACAAGTACTGAATTGCTTGCTACTCCATCTTCGATGGTTCCAGTTCTTGTTCCTTGTCATTGGAAAGTTTGTGACTTGGTTTTCGCTGTGTGGCTTACTGGATATGTTTGCCGACGGATTCAGGCGCTGACCTCTCTGATGCTGATCTTCGAGGCGCCGATTTCTCGCTGGCGAATTTAACAAAGGTAAAATGTTCAGGATCGCACATTACTTTGGTTCTGTTTCATCAGGATTCAATTCAAGCACGCTTGTGCACGCGGCTGTATTCTATTTTGTTCAAAATGCCTGACAAGTATCTCATTCTCATCCAAAACGTTCAGCCATTGTTAAATCAGACGTTTATATTTGGGCCCATTTCGTTCATGCTCCTCTCTTTGTTTATTTTCTATGAAACAAATCCCTTCATGTTTTCCCTGTCTGATTGAACTATCTGTCCATAGATATCAGCATGGTGATTTGTTTTTCAACACGCTCATGATTGGTTTTGCCTCACTTCATTTGCAGACAAACTTATCAAATGCCAACTTGGAAGGGGCACTTGTCACAGGAAACACTTCTTTCAAAGGTGCCAACATAACTGGGGCAGGCAAGTGATTTCTGCATATCACTCTGATAGCCATCTCTTGCTGCAACTCAGCAACTGTACCTTTCTCCACTCAAAAGGTTGTCATCAGTAGAGGGGGCACAAACAAATTTCCATTATTCCCCTTTGCAAAATCAAAATGAGCAAAAGTAGGAAAAGCTCAGACTGGATAAATGAGCTTGTTCTTGTCTCTTGAGTCATGACATGATCACATAAGCAGTAGTGTCACCATTTACCATTTTCTTCAACCTGCAGATTTTACCGATGTCCCGCTGCGGGACGATCAACGGGAATACCTCTGCAAAATTGCTGACGGGTAAGAACACAACGCATTGACATGGACCGATTGATGGCCATTAAGTCTAGTGATTTGTCTGTTGATCTCATCGTTTATCGAACAGAGTGAATTCAACCACCCGGAACCCCACCAAGGAGACTCTGTTCTGCAGTTGATCGATGGAAGACCCCGTGACTTGTGAGACTTGTAACTTATTCAACGCCTTAATAAACCTGTATCTGCAGCTGTAAGGATGCGAGAAATGTAAATTGAGTTATAGAGCAGGAGGAGGATGCCCAGAAATAATAAGGGTACTGGTAATTACGTGTAAATCAACGAACAATGTTAGTGCGCGTTGCTCTTTATGTGCAAGTGACTTTTTACTTGGTCATATATATGGATTAACGGAGGACTCTCAAGTTTCAAACATTGCCACATTGGTACACTGATTCAGCTGTGTTTCTTTTCCTTTCTTTTTTAAGTAAAATATACCACATTGGTGCCTGGTGGTCTGGCCCAGGCGGGTTTCGGCCCAACCCCATCCTGCATTCGTACCCGTCCAGAATGTTGACTGCTCAACTTCGACTACCTGCTGCTCGCG